GCGTATTTCAGGCCTCCCTTCTCCACTCGTTGCAATCTTAAGGACAAGGAATTTATTAACCCACACCGTGATAATAGTCTCTCTACTTCTGTTAAAAGAATGCCGATTTGTGAGTTCCTCCCTTCATTTCATTCTTTGTGACCGGTTCGTCTCCATTCTTTCGACTGGTCAACGTGAACATGGCGACTTCCCATCACTGTCTAAAGAAAATTCTAGAGGCCGGCTGCTCTCGTCGGTAGTTTTTCGTATTTATCCAATCGAATGCAGGAGCAGTACCGTAACAAACTGGCCACGAATCGCGCGTGATTTTTCCTCCCTCATGCTTGCCCCTCTAATCTTACACAGATACACTATACTATATCTAAAGGCGAGTCGGGGGGCTTAGAACTTGTCCTGACAGTCCCCGAAAGCTGACGTGTAGGACACCGCCAGATCTATCATACCATATGATGAAGTCCGCCACCTCCCGGATTTTAACATGCATCACGTTTAATGGACTATTGAGCCTAGTTCTTGATGATTCTGAAATCACTAGATGCTTTCTCACTCTGGAGCTAAGTCAACGAGGTACTAATAACTGATTCGTGGGCATGTTCTTCTGTATTCGTGATGCTGTTTGATGCCTAAAACCGTTTTACAGCGATATCTTGATGGCCTCGTCGGTAGTGTGCATTCAGTATTTTGTTCAGGCATCTTATCTATCTCATGACTAGAACCATGACACGTTCACCGGCGTAAGTCTGCCATTCGATGCGTTCATCACGTAATTCTATATGTAGGATAGGCGTGTGAAGCCTAGAGTGAGAGGGTACATTTCTGACCCTCCTAATGTGTTAACCTTTTTTATTTGCTTATACCTTTTACTTGTAAAACAATTTACAGCCTTTTCACTTTCTCTTTTTAGTACGTATATACGGAGTATTAGACGTAATATAGAGAAAGTTATGTAATACTGCGGAAAACAGATTTCGAGATTTCATTGGAAATGCACGTTTTGGAGTCCCCTGGTACCGAAATAGTGGGTTTTTTTTTTTTTCAATAAGTCCGTCCGTCTTCTGTGAACAACTACCGCCCCAACTACTCGCACATTTTTTCCAATTTTGAAAAAAAAATTCATTAATTTTAGGGGGTACTTTAGGGGCCCCTGCAAGATTTTCAAAATTTTCACAAAAACTACTCCACATTTTTTCTGTGAACTTTTGATAAGAGTTAGTACTAAATGTACTCAATAAGATGACATATACGCAATTCTTCTCTATTCTTTTGTTTGTTTGTTTTTTCAAAAATTACGAAAAAGTAATTTTTTGACTTCTTTCACGTCTTTAAAATTTACTTTAGCTGCGGTTTGTTCACATTGTATTTATGAGTAAATGTGCTGTAAATGATGTCTTACAAAGGTTCACGAAAATCTAAAAGTTTCCTGTAAAAATGAGCTAAAAAATTCCGCATTGTCAGAAATATACAAACGCTATTTTCTCAAAAACGGCTCCAAATTTTTTCTTCATTTTTTCTTTCGGATAGTGCTAATTACACTGTTTAAGATGACATAAAATTCATTTTCCTGAATTCTTTTTTTTAATTACACAAATGTAATTTGTTTTAAATATTTTTGCATGTCTTTAATATGTTCATTTTCTGCGATTTGTATACAATGTTGCATTTGTAAGTGGAAATGCTTCAAATTACTTCCAACAAAGTTTTCAAAAACTCAAAAGATTTCAAATTCCGCTTTACAGTAACGCTTAAACGCTATTTTCTTAAAAACTGCTCCAAATTTTTCAACGAAAGCTTCCTCGCTAGACGAAGTTTTATACTTAAGGGAATATTTTAATATTCTTAAAGTAATATTTTGGTTCTGCTATTAGGAAACCGAAAAATTGAAGGAAAAAAAGTACTTTGGGCAGCTGGCTAGAGGACGTGGTGAATCCGAAAACTTAGTCCAGACCAAAGAAATTAATACGAGAGAATCTTTGGCATTCTGTAGCACCACTAGTTTTTTTAAATGTACCTTTGGGTGGTTGTTAGAGGATCCGATAACAACGTTGCGGCATTTTTGGGGTAGTTTCGAACATATTTCAACATTTTTAGGTGTTTCCGGCCGACATTCTTAGTTCGGGGAGGGTAATTGAGTCCACGTTAGCCATTTTCAGGGTAGAGTCGAAAGTTTTTCACTCCTTGAATTCTGTCGTTACACTGTAGGTACGAATTGTACAATTACCATTTTGCCATACTTTTTGGGAAATTTAAGAATTCTTCACATGACATTTCACATTTTTTAAATTTGTTGTAAGATTTCATAAAGCTAATGTCGTAAATAAGTACATTAATTTTAATTATTGAAAAATAGCGAGTCAACGAGTTAATAACTGCAGCTTTACAAATGCTGACTTTTACAACTAAGTAGAAGGCCGAAATTTTCAAATTTTATATCTCTAAGGCAATAATACTTAAACACATAACAATATAGGGATCAACTAATATGTCCATCCGTTTGTCTTGATCACGAAGTTTGAAAATGTACGAATGGGCTCTTTAAATAATTTGTTTTAGGAAATTAACTTATTTATAGAAATAAAATGTTTTTATGGGATTAGGCTACGGGCCCACTTCAAAATTGGTCACTGACATCCAAGGCTCCCATCCGAGCACTACTAAGGTACGAACCGAGAAAAAATAGCTTTAGTGCTACATTACAAAAGGTGGACAATCTTTCGCCGATGATGATAATTATGATTATGATTATGACTAAGGAACGAATGTTCATCTAAATACTTATTTTTACAGGAACACGATACCTGTATTCAATTTTGTTTACAATTCACAAGACATTCCGAATGTATTAAAATCATTTTTATTTTACATGTTTTGCTATAATTACATATTTTTACGTTTTACTTATTAATACATATTTCGTTAAATTTTGATGTATTTATTAGTCGAAACGAAGCATACGAGCTTGACAATTCATTTTATTGGAATCCTCTTTCTTCAAAGCAATTGTAATAGGTAAGGAGCGGATTTCTATGATTCTGCGTATTTTTGTCCGTAGCTTCAGTGCATAGCTAAATGAAATTTCTTGGCATTTGGTTAGATAGTGATGCTATATAGATTAATACGGTAGTGCATATTTGTACATACTTGGCGAATTTTTCCTGTTGGTGCAAATTTGTACAGTTATGTGCATGTGTTTTACATATTTCGTTAAAATAGAGACTTCTCTGTTAATAGTTTCGTATTTTCATAGAATCTATTGGTGAGCGATTATTGATTCGAAAGAGCTTGTCACAGTTTGCGGTTTTTGTTTCCTATATATGATAATACTTGTGAAAATGTGGAATATTTCTTGATAACATTTTTTAATAACATTTTTTTCAGAAGAAATACAAGATATATACTACGTAATTCACTTGGATGAATATTTACTACAGTTATTTCTCTCGCGAAGTAGGGTAGATTATATTATGTTCGCACAAAATTATTTTTCGTTTCATTCCAAGTCTTCTTCTCCTGAATTTTATCAAAAAGGTTTGTAGGGGAAAGGGGAAGAATTGTTAATTTTAATTGCATATTAAACTACATATTTCAGAATATTTAGGGCATAAAAATCCTCTTCCTAGTGATAGACCTACCATTGCGCTTCTATTACCGCCGCCTAATATCTCTGACGTGATTTGTCTAACTTGCTCCCTTCCCTGCTCCTTGGAAGCAAGAGTTCTCAGAAGGAATCATGTGACGGATGTTTGCGAAGCAGAAGAAATCACCTGCTTGCTCATGTTTCATGGAGCCCATGCCTAACTTACCGAAATATGACACATAATTTTTACGTATGTTAACGCAATTACACACACTCTCACACGGTCACTCTCTCGCACGGTCACTCTCTCGCACGGTCACTCTCTCGCACGGTCACTCTGTCGCACGGTCACTCTCTCGCACGGTCTCTCTCTCACACGGCCACTCATGCACACGCACGCACTCTCGCTACATAAGTATTTTATATTTCGATTATATTTGTTGTGAAGTGAAGACTAGTGTATAATTATTTCTGTAGAGGTAGAACTTTCAGCTGCTCGGAATCAATTTTAAGACCTGATCGACGACCTCGTATGATCGGAAATTAAAAAATGCTTATTGGAGCTACGTTAAACGAATGAATTTTTATTTTATATATTTTCAATTTTTCCTTCGGTGTTTTAGAAACAATAACTACATATACACGTACACCGTTGGTACGGTAATTTGGACATCAAAAATCAGGACTGTATATTATATGGATTCGATTCTGGCCGAAAAAGGTGGCATGAGGTGAATAGCATGATGTTTAAAAGTGTTGACACAACTTACTTTTTATTAAATTTATTGATTGTAGAAAATTATATAATGCTTAGATACAAAATAAACTACTTTTATTTTTATATTTTATGACAATTTAAATAAAAACTGTTTTTTGACATATAGTATATATGTAGGAAAGAGAAGGAATTCCCCAGGAACCAGAGATTGCTCATATTAACTTTTTCCAGGAACTATGGCTTTTCACAGGTCTAATTAAATAGATTTTCTCAAGAATCTATGAGATCAAAGAAATAATCTGTACAAGCAATACTGTTCGTACAGAAAAGTAGTTTTTCTGTAATGAAAAGTGTTTAAAAAAATTAGTTAAATTTACTAATTTGTTCATCTGCTGTACTTCTGTAAACTTCAAAGCAAATTAAGATGATTTGAATGAGATTTTTGTATGTTGAAGACTTCTACAGGTGATCTTTATGGTGCATGTCAAAAACCTGGACCATTTCATAGTATGAAAGGGTTCTGATCCCAATTAATTTGGATTACTGCCGTTCAATTGTAACTAAATACCATTTGAAAGTTTTGAGGAGTCCAATTAGAAAAAATGTGAATTATTTTATTTATTTAAATCAATACTCATATTTGTATTTTATGTTCAGTGAATCTATATTTGTCTCCTGCGACTTGATAATGTTCATTTTCTTTTTCAGATGAAGGCCCAAATAGTGCAGATGACAGTGATGAAGATGTGATCACTGACTACTTGCCACCCTGTGATAACACAATGGCTCAGAGGCGTTCAGGGCCACTTGTGCCCACTATTAGTGTTACACCCCATTCACCTGGCACACGCCATTACCCCATATTAGGTGAGAAGCATACGTTGGCAGGCAAATGATTCTTCCCCACCTTTCATCTTGACGCAATGTTTTTTCATTCTCTGTATCATTGCATATGTATGACTGGATATTTTGTAAAAAGTAAGAAATGTGTAGTTGTCTGAAGTTTTTTCCTATCTTGTTTTGCAGAGGACAATCTGCAACATTTACATGAAATCCATGAAAGTATACAACAGATGAGGGATCTATCTGCTCAGGTACTCAATAGTCAGGTATTTGAGCATCCTATTTGTATTCGCTTACTTTTCCTTTGTAGTTCTGCTCTTTATGTGCCTTTCTCATTTTGTTTTGTTTTCTTTTTAATGGTGCAGATGATGGGGTTAAGCCAGTATGCTCGTTTGAGTACATCATGTCCGTCACTCAACAATGAAATAGGCTCAGATCCTGATCTGGGGTCAATGAATTCTTCACCCACTCAGACACTTGCAATTGGAACATTCAATGCTACTGGTTTTATGGATCTTCTTCATGGAAAAAGTATGGCAAATCTCTGTGCACTAAAATGTTTTTTTCCTTTTTATGTAATATATTGGAAGTAGTTTGCTTATTTTATTTTATGCAAAATGTATATATTTTTTGTCGATTATTTAATGGTTCTTCCTCTCCTATTAGTTTTTTCTTCCAGTATAATTCGATTAGTTGGACACGTGTGAACATTCTGCAATTTGTAAATAATTTAAAGAAAAATGAAAATAGCTGCCCATTGATATCAGCTGCTGAACAGCTTTATAGGCCTAGCTCTGTATGCGTTTAATCATTCTATTGCCAAACAATTAAGATTAAATACCACAGAACATCAAATAGTCATTTTAATTTTACATAATTTTGAGATTTTTCATTTTTGCTGATTGCCCATGCTACAGAGTGGGGACACCCAAAAGAGCTAAACCACCAAGATGTAATAGGTGGTTCAAAAAAATCTCCTTTTGTAGAATTCAACTTAAGTAGCAATGCCTGATGGCCTGCATGTTTGTCTGTGTGTTTCCCTACATTTCCCATTTCGTATTCCAAAAGCACCCCGCCTTCCTCCCTCAGAATGTTTCCTCCAAATTTCTTATGTTACTCACATGTTCTTCCACATGGTCCATGCATATTCCCCCAATTGTTCCCCACATGTTTTACTGGATGTTCAGAAATGAATTGTAGGTGTTATTTTATTATGAAATATTTTCCTAAACTATATGAACAGAACAATGGCTCTCTTAGCTCAAGTAACTGGAAATGCTGAATATCTACAAGATTGAAAAAATATAATAGATGGGCCCAAAGTGTAAAATTTTTCAAATCAACATTGATAATAAACACATGTACAGATTTGCTAAAGTTCATATATTTTGAAATCAATGTTTTAAAAGTGAAAGTTGATTCATACTTGAATCCAACTTCAAATGTTCCTGACAACCTGTACTATAGAGTGGGAGTGCCTCCCAGAAACGTAATAGAATATCCAAGAAGGTGTCGTTTGATAGATTAACTAGTGTTTAACCTGGTTTTAGTTCCGAAGATACTTTTTTTAGTTTCTTGTTAACACAAGTCCTTTTAAATGGCTTTGCAGAGCGCATAGTTTGTGTCGATAATATTTTGTGTGAACATTTTTCCAATATAAACTTGTGATTAAATATTTTTGCCCTGTAGCAAATCCCCATGAATGGTTGATGTGCCGAGGACCCCTTGATGAAGAAACACCACGTCGTCGCAGCTGGACTGCTATAGAAGATTTAAGTCAAAGCAAGGAGAAGCATAAATCTAAAAGACAGAGAAGGTGTGTTTATTCGGTGAAACTTCGTTCAATTTTAGAAAACTGAATTGGAATGTGTGATGTACTCATTAAAAGAAATTAAATTGTTGCAGAAAGTAATAAATTTCCCTTTTGATCAACTGATATTTTCTTAGTAATTATTTGTGGTATCTAAATTAGTTATTTTTTTATTCAATTCTGTGATATCAGTGCATTCCAGAGCCAGGGATGCTTTTTTATTTTATATTAGGTTTTGCAATATAGCAGAAATAAAGCAAATAATCGTTTTGAGATGAAATAAAGCAATATTGTGTAATTACTTGAAAGATTACTGCCATTCATCAATAACGTTAGTTTATTAAGAATTGTATTTTCAGCTATTGTACTTTATAATTGTAGAGTTGTACATGAGTTGTGATTTATATACTAGTAACTATAAAAATAAATGCATTTTCTCATGGATACATAGATCATTGTTCTTTTGAGATATGTTAATTGTACATAATTCACAACTCATTTTAAAATATAAATGTAGAATTATAAGTACAACAATTTAAGATACATTTTTCAATAAACTAATGGTGTCATCTCGCCAAAGATAACAATCTTTCAAATATTAACATTAATCTAGATGTTAAATTCAATCATTGTATAATATTTCTAGTATGAGTCTGAGCAGCTTGGATTCAGAACCTGATGATTCCTTCCTGGACCAAGTGGACAGTGCAGGGAGCACAGGGCTGCTAGTGTCAGATGCAAACTCTTTGGGTTGCCCTACTGGCTCTCGCCGAGCACCTCGTACTGGTGGAACAGCTTCTACACACTCACTCAATGAAGCTGATTTACAAGTAAGTTCAAGCTTGGGCTTCTGTACAGAATGCTACATAGCATTCAAGCCGATGGATGAGACTTGATGGAGACATTTTACCCACAGCCAGATTGTGTGCAATGATTCATTTATAAAAAAACATTGAGTTCCATTTTCTAAAGTCTCATTCTTCAGTTGACACACTTATAATAATACACAATGAGAAAAATAATCTACAATATCCAAGGTTTAATACCTGATCAATACTGGGGGTCTGCGTTTGTAGTGTGTATAAGATAAAAGTACAGTTGAACCTGTTTATAAGAGTGCTTAAAAGTGACAATATGTGTTGCTTTGAGTCCCAGTGTGTATATTATGGGCATTTTCATCATGTGTGCAAGAGACGTACTCATTCGAGTTTCCCTCATCTAGTAGACTGACTGTAAGTTCTAGAAGATTTTCCCCCCACAAGTAGGAATTGGAGGTTGAAATGACAATTTTTTCCTTGCTGCAAGCTGACTGACTCATTTGTTTTATTCTCAAGCACCCTTGAGTCTGTGTAAGAAGGGCTTCCTCTCTATAGAAATACACTATCTGGCATACGTATATGTAAAGGTATAACTGTATGTACTGTTATACATAGACCATTATATGTTTGAAAAAATTGTGTTTATACTTATCAGTAAAATATGAAATTCTGCTGCCGCTTTCTCTGTGTAATGTTTTGTGAATGCTGTTAAGATGTGCACTGACGATCAAGAAATCGTTCATGCTTATGTCCTCATTATGTTTGGGCGACCAGGTACAGTTAGAGCTGTGCAGTTGGATATGTGTAAGACTCATTGACTTAATTCATTGTGTATTTTGAATAGAGCTTTATCCTTTTGGTTATATTGATATTGATCTCCTAGTGAAAACAGAGCTCCATTTACAAGCAACTTACCCAATGCAGAGAGACCAAGTGGGAATGGATATGTATTTTATACTACTTTGGACTTCCACTAAATGTTTAGGACGAGGAGAGTTAAAGAGAAGGGGATGAAATTAGTTAGTTCTGATTGCAAATGGTTATTTAACCAAAGATTGTTCTTAAACACACAAATCTTAAATACACACAATCTTTCAAATAGAAATGATTATTGTTAAATTAAATGAAATTTACCACTCACAAGCTTTTATACTGTAACATGAAGTAATTTCAATTTAAGAAACAGGCCCCCATTTGAAGATATTACAAAAATTACACCTTTCAATTGTGACCTGACTTCTGGAAGTACATATGTAATTTCAAAAGTCTCCTTTGAGAAAATGTTTTTATGTAGAGTGTGTTCTTTTTAAAGTTGTAGGTATATCTACTTTACAGGTTCACAACAGTACTAACTTTATGTTAAATTTGTTTCAGAGTGATTTTAGCAAGATTGTTGCCAAACGGGAAGCAGAAAATTTAAGACTTCCCCCAGCAAGACTTCCACTTCAGAAGTCTGTATCTACTCCATCTATTATTGCAGTGAGAGACATTGGAAATGAAAATAACACTGAAACCAATGCTTCTACATTGCCTCCGTGAGTATGTTTGTGACATGAAGGTGGAAAAGTGCTATAAGTAAATGATATGTTTTCAGAGAAGAATATTATCAATTTCAACAGGTCTACAGTTCTTTGTCTTCAAAAATTGTCTTATTGTGGTTGAATTATTAATGATATTGATGTCTAGAAAAATCATTCCACATTTCCATCTGCTTTTTGTTTAAGGGCAAAAGTTGAAAAAGAACATACTTATAAAGCTTACAGTATATTTTACATTTGTGATGCTTCTGAAGTAGAATTCTGTGGTATTTGCGGATTAAACTTCCTACTGTTTCACATTATGAGAGCACAATGTACTTGTAATACAGTTTTGCCTGTTTCATGTGTTCTGTTTATTTATATAAAAAAAGTTGGATAGGAGATCTTAGATAAAAAGAAAGAAAAAAAAAGAGAAACTTGTTAAAGTAAGTTTCTTTGAAGATTCTATAATTGATGGATTTGTAGGTCACCTGGTCTTCTATGTGATGTAATTGATCCTAATTTGTCATAGTGATCTAATTATCCATTTCTTATTAATCTATCATTTATATTGCAGAACTAGAAAATGTTATCTCTGCATGAATAGTGTCAGTTTTTCACTGTTGTACTTAAAAGAAAAAAACAAATGTTTATTAATTTGTTTTATGCCTTCATCAAATTTCATATTAGTCTTTTAAACAGTGACAGTTGCTAATGAACAAATACATTTTCTAAAATATATTCATATGTAAAAAATTGGCCTTTATTGAGGCAATTTAAAAATCCTTGATCACTTTCATTGACCATAAAATCTTTCATAATTTTTCTTTTTGCATTAACAAAGCTGTCTCGCATTGAGAACCTGCTCTTAACAACCATTATAGGGAATCTCAAGGTGCAAGTTTTGTTTTTCTGCTTTAGGCAATATTTCTTATTATACAAATGAAGCACAGTCAGGACAAAAGTCTGTTGACTTTGGGCTGATTTCTGTATTGTTCATGTTCTGAATTGAGCTAGTTTGCCTGCATTTTAAATATTAACATACTGTCTCAAGAATACATTTGCATTATCTGTGAATACCAGTTAAATCATCAGAAATTCTAACAACTACACTGTTTGAATTTAGCAATCCTCAGACACATTTTTTTCTCATTTTTCAATTTTATGTGTTCAGAATAGAAGAACAGATCAGACATATTTATTCTTTAATTTATTTACATCATTCTTGATCTCATTTGCATAAATTATTTTCTGGTTTTGTGTTTTGAATTTTTATTTATCTCGTGTATATTTTTTCCTTCATTTCTTCTCTAAATGTGTGCCTGATAATCCTTGTGTTCTGAATGTCTTTGCTTTTGCAATCCAGTGAAATATCATTATAACAAATACCAGTGTTAAGAAAATTACACTTTAGCATAATTAATTTAACCCCTACCACTTAAACAATGTTTTATAGGTAAAATAATTTCACTTTAATGAATTTCAGATTAACTAATTCAAATTTTGCCATGTTTAATTTCATTTTTTTGAATAATAATTGCATTTGTGTAATATATTTTTCTTAGTGCATTATTTTATGATTCAGCATTGTGTAACATAGAATGTAAGTGACAGGAGTTTTCATTAAATGAAAAATTGGATGTTTGTATGGAAGTGGAAAAAGGAGGGAAGAAAGGGACCGTAGCCAATAGCCATATCTGACTATTCACACTATCATAATTAAGGGAAAAAGAAGACTATGATGCCTTGAGCCCAATGTAAAATAATCTGGATGGTTACCTATGTTATTGTTGACAAACTGGTTTATATGCGGTTTGTTGAAAATAGATCCCAAAGCAATCCTATAAATGACCCACTGTTATGCGAGCATACATTATCCTTTTCATGTTCACTTGGGTTTCAAGAATTTATGGGGACTAGTGATTGGATCCTTGGATTCTGGGGAAGGTATGGTATTTCCCACCAGATATAATAAGGATGTCCCTAAAGAAATGGCAGCTGAAAATACTTAAAGAATCTTTTAAGGAATATTCACCAGCAAATATATACCATGCCAATGAAACAACTTTTTCTTTTTCAAATTGCCACAGGAGAAAATGCTAAAATTTAATGAAAGTAAGTTTGTTGGCTAAAAATCTCTAAAACATGAATATCTCTTCTCTTATGCTGGAACGCTCCTGAGACTGACAAACGGAAAAAAACTAATAATTGGCAAGTTTGGAAAACAAAGGAGAAAATGAAACATCTGCCATGTGATAATAGTCACAACAAAAATGCATAGATGACCCCTCCGTGAATTTTGAAGAATTGTTATTGCACCTGGAAAAACAAAGAAAGCAGAAAAGGAAATTGTACTTATTATAGACAATTGCTCGTGACATAATTATGTGCCATAGCATTTGGAGAACATAAAAATTCTACTTCCTTTTACCATATCAATTCTTCTGGATCAAGATAGAATCCTTGAAAAGAAGAAGCATTACCATGCTTGTGCAGTCCAGCATATGCACTACAATATTGTCTGAGAGAGGGTTGTCAATGTAAACGCGGAAATGTAGAACTGGAAGGGTTTGTAAGAAAAATCAGATCTTCCAAGAAATGCAAATATTACTAACTACATCAATGTGAATTGTAATGTAACAAGTAATAACTGAAGAAATTGTGGCAGAAATTCAGGTGTTGATGAGGAGAAAGAGGAATCTTAAAAACTGACTTATTTCACTATAATATATTTATTACTGATATCCCAAAATTTTGTTATACTGTTATTTCACTGAACTAATGTGAGTATGATCTGCTAATGCTATTGTGATGTAATGATGCTGATTCTCACTTTCCTCTATGTTTCTCACTTTGACATTCTAGTTACTGTTTTTGCTTTACATTTACTACTGATTCTTTGCTATATTTATAGTAATTGCTGTATGTTGCTGCTACATCTGCTATGGAAACAGCTGCTTACGTTTTTGCTCACATTCAATGATTCTTTTTTATGTTTTTTTTCTTTTCCTGCCAAGTTACATAATATTTTCTCGGGAAAATTTCTTTAATGACCTTTGTACTTTAAATTTTACCTCCTATCTGATCTTTCATCATTACTGATAGAATACTTATTATTGCATGTTGTGAAGTCAATTCAACTCGCTAATAAAATGTCACGAGTGTATAATTTTATACACTATTCATTTACAAATATTTATGTAATAGTTTGGTTTTGTGTTTATCATTTTCCCAGTTATTGTCACAATTCACTACCAATGTCACTCGGCCAACTCACTGCTGTTTACAGTTTAGTGTCTCTAGCATTGATAGATAGTACAGAACTTTGGAATCTACGGGGAATTTTGAGAGTCTTGAAAGCAATCAGCGCTTAAAAAGGGATGTTAGGAGATCGATGACCATTCATTTATTTTAATCAGTTATGTAATTGATATCGGTTTTTATACTCAACACTATTATTCTTTGTGAGTGGAATATAACACAAAATTACCTTGGTCACTATTTAGTAAATGTAGTGTATGGATGGTGGAAATTGTGGTATGAAATGTTTGTCCACAGTTGTAACATATACATCTCTGCTGCTTGTTAATTGAATGATGGAATATCTGATAGGAGTTCTTTTGCAATGTTTCACTCTAGTGTCTCATTGTAAATCACAGATCTGTTGCACATTGTTTAATCTCAAAACAATTTTTTCAAGGATGCACTTCACCCGGGGGGGTTGGAAGACGGTGTAGGAGAGGATTCGTTGTGGGACGAATGGTTTGAGGCTGGTCTAGAGGTTACCAGAGTAGTGCCATAAACCAAACCTTGTGCAATCAATTCAAGTGGAGAATGCTCAAATGTTTGGAGATGAAATTTCTAACTGCACCTTCCTTCAGGGAAAAGAATTTGTAAAACTAAACATCCTGTCTTATAGATTTGCAGCACTTGAAAGATTGTATTGGGTTGGTGCATAAGTCTATAGTGGGTTTTTGTTTTTGTTTTTTTTTTGGGCTTGTTATTGCTCCTGTTGGTGTAGAGTATAAGATTGATTATCAGTTTTTCATGGAGTTATATTATTGTGATTGAGTTTGTGTATTGCATTTTGCATTTTTTGGTTCGTCAATGTTGCTGTGGACAACAGAAAATAAGTTTCAAGTGGATAAAGTGGAACAGTTTCAAGATATTTCTGTCTTTGTATTCAGTACAGGGGATGCACGTAGTAAGATTTTCATTGTGTATGAGAATAATGTCATGGGAGAGATCACTGCAAGAAAATGGTCTTGTTTTGTCATGTGTAACTCTCCACCTTCAGGAAGACCTTCATGCTTTGATGAAGACCATTTAATCGTCTTAATCCAAAAAGATCCACCAGAGGGAGAGATGTTCTAAGAATCTTTGACTTCTTTAACTCCAAACCAGAAGATTTCTACACACAAGGAATTGAAAAACTACCCCAGTTATGGCAGACAGGTGTAGAAAAAGAAGGAGAATATACCAGTGATAATTAACTTCTTTCTTACATGTATCTCTAAAGTATAATAAACTTCTTAAAAAATGTTTCATACTTATGCACCAACCTAAAACTGTTGTGAAAATTTAGTTCTGTCGATAATTACATAGGAACTTACTAAAGTTATGGGCTTCCACACTTAGTCATTTTAGACTCACCAAGAGATGCTGTATAGTGGGTATAGTGCTGATGTTTTGGGCATTAAATCGTGTGCAAAACTAATATTTTTTAAAGTACTTATTGAAGCTTTCTGAAAAGCAACATATTGGTGTTGTGAATAACTCGTGGTTGTGTTGCTAATGTTGCATTTGAATTTTATACTGTTCTCTTCCTGTGCATTTTATTACCTTAGTTCAGTAACTCTGTCTAAATGATTGATTAATAATCAAATACAGTCAGTATCCATTGTTTACAGATAAAAGTTTTAAAATTAAACATTGACTAATGGTGTTCACATTAGGAAATAATATAATATATTCGACCAATAATGTAATTAGTACCAAATGTGTATTTATAAAAGAGGAGTTCTCGCACGCACTTTCTTTGTAATACCTTGTAAGAAAGCAAAAGCTCTTTAGCATTTATTTTGCACTTGCTCTGCCTTTGCAGCCATTCACGTGTGTGCATGATCATGGCTGCTATATTCTGTGCTTATTTTGAGTTGTTTGCTTGCTTTTTTGTGTGTATGCACCTGCAGGCTTCGCCCCAGTGGAACAGAAAGTGAGACAGAAGAAGAAGGCATGCAAGGAAAACATTTTCATCCACCTTTGGATGAATTCTTAAATGTGTAAGTAAAGTGAACTGTCCATGCCAGTGTGATTCATCAGGTGTAATCGTGCTTCATTTTATATACGTAATTGTCTTTATATGAAAAAGGTTCCACGAAAGAAAAAGCATATTTTGAAGTTTATGCACATTTTTTAAATTTCATATGCTTTTTACTTTACAGGAATTACTTGTGTACTATTTATAAGCATAAAGAGAACCTTTGAATTGATTAGATGAGTTTAAGAACAACAGAAAAGCATGAATATTACAAAGAAGAAATGTTCCTTAATGGACAAAATATCACTTGTGACATTATTGTTGGATGGAGTTGAGGTTTTGTGTGTACACATACATACTCAGTTTGCTTTGTTAAACTATCCTTGAGAGTGAATCTTTATTTAAATTAAATTATTTTAGAACTGTAAATGAAAACATTAAATTAAAGCCACAAATTTATGAACAATATTTCCAATTTTTCAAATATGTGCATGAATTGCCACAATATGCAGAAGGAAGATAAAGTTCTATGATACATGGAACAAATATAGGTTTGAGCATATAAATCAGTTAAATATTTAGTTTTTAATAACTAAAAGATGAAAGACTTTCAGTTTCAAAAAATTACAGATGTATTTCTCTGTCATTTACCTTTTTTCAATAATGTTTGATAAGAAGCGTAACTTAAAATTTATACTGTTCATATGATGCATTAGAATATTAATTACTTGTTTAATGTTAAGTAAAATTAAAAGAATTAAAAGTACTATGTATATGTTCTTGATTTAATTATGAAACTGGCTTAACATTTACAATTATATCTCAGACTAGTGCTAAACAAATGTGTCTACTTCGATGTCGTTCTTATATTTCTGTCTTTCACTCCAAGAATGTTGTAAATGTTCAAATACACAATTTTTTGGGCATGCTGCTTGCTCTTTGCATTTATAAGTTTCACTGTTTTTGCTGGTGTTTTGCATTAAAATCTTCTGTGTAATTGTTTGATATATTTGAGACTGTGAATCTTGTAATCTATTTGATAAAATAAGTTTTCTTCACATTGAGCTTTTATTTAGTTAAATTACATAAGAAAAGAAATAGTTTTTTTCGTCAGTGTGCATCTATAAAATGATAAAATTGAATACATTGAATCAAAGAAATTACTTTGTTTCACTTTTTGAAGTGGGTAATATACAATTGAAAATGGATATGTCCAATAAAATCCACAAAGTGTTCATTTGATGAACCTTTTTATCACAAATGAAATTTTAACTCTTAGATGAAGTATTGAACTACCACATTCAAATCATCAGCTCTATTACCACTTACTTTTAATAAAATTGTTTGCTAATGTGAATCTAAATCACTCTCAATTGAATGACCTCAATGGGGTTGGGTTTGTATATGAATATTGGATTTTTATATTGTACTGTTAGATATATCAAATACATTAGTTTCAATTTGAGCTGAATTTAAATGGTTTAAATATTGAATATTGTTCATTGAACGAATTGCATTAATTAAATTGTTGAAGGTCCATTGCAATGTAGTGGATATTTTTGAGACCTTCAGGACAGAAAATATTTGTCCATTCTACCCGGGTTCTGAATGTGGCATACCTGTTCAAGGTGGAAACAAGCATGGAAAGCCAGGAATAGTCAGAAAATGTTTATTAAGATTCAGGGAAAAAGCAAGGATTTTTTTATTACATGAAAAAAATAAATATTTTTTTTTAAAGTTCTAATTATATTAAGAAATTGTCTTAATTTAAGCTGGAATGGAGAAAGGTGTATGCCTGGAAATGCCATTTTGAGAAAATTGCTTTGAAATTTTGTTTGTCAAATAATTTAGATTTAAACTAGACACCTTAAAAATATTTCAGATATCATAGAATTAATTTCACTCTGGTCTTGGAAAATCATGTTTGTAGGTCTGGAAAACTGGGAAAGTCAAGGAAAATGGTTTCCAAAATGTTGTTGCCACCTTGATATTATCTGAAACATAATTCAATTGAGAAGTAGTTGTAAGATGTTTTTCCTTGCTTGAAGAATATATAGGTCAAACATTGGCACTTCATTGTCATTTCTTGCCATTAGCCAACACATTTTTTAAATAATCATGTTCTTGGTAATTTCGTGTGTTGCTTACATTTTTTATACACTTTTCAAAGAATTTTATAATTCGAAAGATTCATATAAATATTTTTCTCACTGCATGTGAACATTTTCTGTTTATGCACTTTGACTTGCTGCTTTTGTTTGCACTTGTGCTCTTTTGCAACTTAGTGTATCTTCCTTTAATTGAATTGAGGGTTTAATTTTTTCCAAGCATTCTTATTTTAAAGAGAACTTATTAAACTATTATTAACTATTGAAACAAGACCATACTAGTGAATTTTTATTTTGTGTTCTGTTGGGTGGGATGTGAATGTAAAAAATGTATTTAAAAATTTCTTTCAGTTCAGCAGTTCAAAATGAAGATGTTAGTTTTGTTGAAAATAGCCAGAATGGTATTCACCACATGATTTTGTTTCTGTAACAAATTAAGAGTTAATCCGTATGTTTCACTGAATGTAATTGTATAAGTACTTATTGAAAATATAGAATGACATGCTAAAATGAATGTATCTTTTGTCTTATAGTAATGTTTTTCAGAAGAAAAATGAATATTTTTCCATACATTAGATTCAAAATCTTTGCTCATGGGATTTCTTAACTCTATTGAAATTCTTAATCTGGATCTGGATTGTATTATCCATATACTAGAACAGTTCTGCTAAAACATTCATACCTTCAGTAAATTTGTTTGTTTTATTAATATTATTTATTTATTAATAAAGGAAAATTGTAATATAGTAGAATCCATTTAATAAAATTTTGCAGCTTGTAAATAAAAATAAGCAGTCCCGATAATGTCGCCATACAAACAATGCATTTTAAACCCTCTTAGTAAAATACTGCTTAATAAAATATCCCACCTAATACAATCTAATTTTTGGGTTTTCAATTGAAGTTTTGTCTGGTAAGAAATTTCTGGTCCAACTAAAAATATTTTGCTGGTCCAATTTCGATGCTGTGAAGCCTTTTACTACAATTCTAAAGAGAGCACAGGACTTCCTGCTTTGCCAGCTGTGCTCACTCAGCATCACTTCTCTCTTGCTTGTTGCAGAACTCGGGAATCTTTTTATTATTGTTTGTGCTTCAAAGTGCTGTTTGCTTTTGTGAGTTTCTTCATAGAGTACCTGAACATCTTGCCTAAGTTTTGCATCTGTTTTGAAGGAACACTTCTGCTTGCATGACATTTTCAGCCACATAGTTTTTTGAACTGAAAACAAAACAATTTAGACAACTATCCTGTACAGTTTTTTCAATAAAGCTTAATTTTTCAGTTATGTAAATAATTTAAATACACATTAAAACAAACTAAATCTTAACTTTTTTTACAGCTTTTTTAATAAAAAAAAAATTTATGTCCCAACAATTTTATTAAGAGGGTTCATCCGTACATTCATACATTAAAAAGTGATTGCATGTTAAAGCTACTTACATCTCATTATTTTCAATAAATAATTTTTACTCAGGTTAAAAAAATTGAATTTCAGTTTGTCTTTGTTCTTTCTTGAATCCATTAACAATTCAACCTCCGTGACTTTATATAATATCTAAGATTTTTCTCACGTACTGTACTCTCAACTCTCTCTCTAGTACACATACCAACACTTGATTTACAGAGTTATTACATTTTTCTTATTTCTGGAACTGCATTGACAGTATTTCACTCATGTGTTTGATGAGGTACATTTAAAGTTTAGATCTTAACTCTGTTTATAGTGTTTTTATGAATTATTTATGAAATAAGTATCATATGACATTTTATTACAATATGAGATTGGAGAATTATCAAATGAGACCATTAGGCAAAGTTTGGTAACCAATTTAATATTGTAATTAAATGTTAAGGCACAAATATGTACTATGTTTTATCCACTTTGTAAAAATTACAATGCACTATAATTTTTTTGACTATTTATCCTGTGAACAGTAATAGGCTGTTGTTGACAGTAATTATTATGAATTGTTAAAACGCTTGTGAAATACAAACTAAGTGTTATTACTACTCTTACTGAAAAGCTGATCTCATTTTCATACAGTTTGACTTATGATACTCAAAGTGTAAAAAATATCTCTATAGTTGTTGCAGTTTCATCTTCTATTTGTGGTTTTCCCTATGCTTATAAAAAATAATGAACCCTTGATTCCTTTAAAGTAATGATAAGCTATACTAAAATGTTTTATAATCTTTAGATGTTTAAATATTTTCTATGTTCATTTTGTGTTGATAAACTTGTAGATTATCCAAACTGGTTTAACTGGATTAATTTATTCTTTATTAACCTTTCCAGAAATGTGTATGACCCTCATGCGGAGAAAAGGAGAAAGAGAGGAAGCATATTTTTTAGAAAAAAGAAGGTATTGTAAATTTGGGAAGTTTAATTTTAATATACATAATACATATTTTTAGAATTGAATTATATTTAAAAATAGATGATATATTAATATATATATATATATATATAATATATATATATATATATATATGAGTATATAATATATATATATATATATTTTATTTTAAAAAAGCATTTTCATTAATATCGTATTTTCTGGAATATAAGTTGACTCTAAATACAAGTCGACCCCATAATTTTGAAGAGGCCTCCTGAGAGTTTTTTTAAACCTTTTTAACTTATTCTTTTTATTTAGTCAAAATAAAATATCAAATTGTCTTACTGACTAGAAAGTTTGTTGATGACAATGTTAACACTTATTGCTGATTTATCATTTTCTTGTTACTTATAATGATAATTGTGTTTTTTTTTTTTTTCATGCCCTCAACATCTTTACATGCATCATTGTTTTTTTCTTTTTGGTGCAACATCTCCTGACTTTTTTGGCCCTTCTGAAAGTTTTGTGCATGGATTTTGCATAGTTCTTGGTCTTTTTTCAGATGCCACCCAAGAACATTCCCTTTTATCTGCCCCGCACTTGTTGATGGCTTTTGTTCTTTAACTGTTCAAAATGCAGATTCACACTTGCCAGGTGTCAAATCTGCTGCATCTAACGAAATCTCGGTATTAATTTTCACATTACGTTTTGTTTGATACTATGTCATTCGTTTGAGATTCTCACTTTACTGGCCCTTTAAAAAATATTGGTGTGAATTGATGGGTCAATTTGTGTTGGATTCTGAAAATATGGTCCCGAATATAATTACGTATTGTAGATAGGCCCGATATTTTTACCATCTCCAAAGTTTATTGTTATGCCAACATTTACGGGTTTCGTGATACGGAGTTTCATTGTAAAAACTTAAGCCCTAATCAACCAAGATTAATCTGCGAATATAAGACAACCCTGCATTATTCAACTGAGATTTTTAGGAAAAAAACCTCGTCTTATATTCAAATAAATATATAGTGATAATAAATATCCCATTACTTTCAGATTTCGAATCTATATAATTCCATCAAACCATATCCATATAATTCTTTCAAACTAGAGTTAATCTATGTGTCCTAGTCTCAGAACTGTTTCACTAAATTTAATTGTATAAGTACTTGTTGAAAATTTTTAATTCAAGGAGCTGCAAAACCCAATAACAATCCTTTATTTGTACTCACTGACCCACAAAATTGACTTATTGACTACGTTACGTATTTGAGAAAGTAATTTTCTACATATAGGAGTAAGAAAAATTCACAATCCAGAGTACTTTATTCGTAGCAACACATTCACATGTCTTTTTAAGCGAGTCTGTCTGATGACTTTCTAATCTTGTATTGTTGCTTTTGATTCCTATTTATTTCACATTCTCTTATTTGTATATTGCAGTTATTTAATGTTGCATAAAATTGAAGTTGAGAATTGGATAAAAATTCTCATTTTGGGGTTCCTTAATATTCAAAATCATTTTCACAAAAAATGTCTGCCATCCATCCATTCATCCATTCATCCATCTGTAAACAATCTAAACTATCAGTAGGATTTTCCCAATCGAGCATTGTTCTTGATCAGTCTGCCTGATCTTAAATCCCTGCTAGTGTGTGACGTATCATTTAATATTTGATATTTTTATTTTGAATTTTTTACTTTTGGGCGCATTTACATGAAGCTCCAATTACATTTTTGAAATTTTTTTAAAAATCAATCAATTTTTTCTTATAATTTTAAATTAAGACCTTATAATGTTCCACAAATATTCTCCATTTTATATATAAACAAGTTTTTTTTTTCTTGAGGGGGAGGGAGAAAGTACTCTAATTTTTCTTTAATCTTTTTGCAAGGTTAAGCTCATCATTCTGAATAATTTGCCTCAGTTTAATGCTTATTGCAATTATTAATGCGGTTAATGCAATTATTAATGCTTTCCATTCATTAATTGTGTGCATCACTCTGTGCATTTATTTGTAATTTAGTTAATGATTAATGACCGATGTAGGTAGAAATGTTTATATTATAGTATAAGTTAACATTATGAAATTAAAAATTGAAGATTAAATTTTTTATAGATACATTTGGACAAATAAATTGTCAAACTATCTGATGGTAGAAGTATTTGCAGGCTTGATGCAAAACCTACATTCTTGAGTTCAAATTTGAGCTCGGGGAAATAATTTTGTAGATTGCGAACATTTGTAGAGGTGTGTGGATCAGTCAGACAATCCTCAAGGGAAGTAACCTCTTGCTGGGTGTGAAACATTTTCTCAAAGGCTCAGCTGTTTTTATAATATTAAGTAATAGTTACAAAAGAATGACAAAATATGATATTGTAGCTCCACATGTTTATTATTAGGTAACTACTGACTGCCCTGCCAAATGTTCTTGTGAATTGGCAACACTTTTTTGGGTTCAGTAGTGTTGAAATATTAATAATACATTACTGTTACAAATTATACTAGAAAGTATGTTTTGTTGTAGCTCTTTTTTCTTTTAATTTTTATCAATTCATATGATTTTTAATCTGTTTATATTCAGGTTTATCATTTTATGGTGTGGCTTTAATGCACAATAAAAACCCATTCTTAAATTGTAATATGATTTTGTTAATTTGTTTTCTTTAATGGGCCATTTTTATCTCTAATTTATATTTTAAATATTTTAGGACAAAACGAAGAAAATGTCTCATCATTGGATTACATATTCAGGACCAGTACATACTTGTGACTGGTGTTCAAAACCAGTTCAGAACTCTGCCCTTTACTGTGACAGTAAGTGGTTAATGACATTGTGATATTTACACATCAATTTAATTTAAAGAAAAAAGTAATCTAATGGAAATTTTGTTTGTTTCAATGATCTTTTCTAGGTTGTTTCACTGTTGTTCATTCTGGTTCGTGTAAGGATCATTTAATGGATTGCAGTAAAATTAAAGCAGCAAAGGTATGTTGTTAAAAATCATTAAATCATTCTATGTGTATAGAATCATTCTATGTGTATTATTTTAGACCTGTGTACCTCATTGTTTTCATTTTGAATAGCAGAATACTTCAAAAGCTTTCACTGTGCCCTCGAAGTTCAGCACCAGCAAGAGGAACAGTTCGTCTGCTCCATCACAGAACTCATCAAATAACAGGTAACTTTCAGAAATAAAGAACGAATTTCAGCAAGAAGAAATGTTGGAGCATTTAAGAAAAATGAATGATTATGGCTGGAGATTTTCTGAAGATATAATAATGAGTTCAATTCTCTGAATTAATACCCATTAAGTTCAAAGTTTTAAAGAAATTAAAGCCAATTTTAAAGTTGAACTATAAAAGTAGCTACTTTAATATATAGTGAAACCTGGTCAAATGGCCACCTCAGATAAGCGGTCACCTGCACTGAAGGCATTTTTTCCTGGCATCAATCGATTTTTCATAAGGCTTATAAATGTCACCTTTTTAGTGGCCACCTGGCTACATGGCAAAATACCTGACACATTTCATAGACTGACCTATATGAAGCAGTCACCTCAAGCGATCTTGAACTATATTATAACAAGGAGTCCAAAAGTGGTGGATATTATTTCTGTTTTAATATCTTTCTACAATCGGATGCATTGTCATTTTACTTCAGTCAGAGACATCCATTGACTTATTTTGCAGGGGGATTAATTTCTGTTTCATGTAACAACACACAATTTCAATAAACACTTTTAATGCAATAACAATGCATTTGTTTCTCCAATCTGAAGGTCAGGCATCAACTCCTTTGGCAGTCAGTATTGCTATAAAGTTTCCACTGGTACAAAATGCATCTTAAAGTCTAGTTTGATTTGGCTAGGATGGAAAGAGAATTTCTCAAATATGAGAATGAGTGCCCAGCCCCTGGCGATTGATGAAATTTTAAAGGAGGTCAATGATGATCAAGGGGTCGATAGCTGAATATACACTGGCATTTGATTGTTATATTCAAGATCCTATTGATTACAAATAATTAAAGAATAAATGAAGTTGTTAATTGTTTTCTTGTGTAAAGATTCAGAACATTTAATAGTATTTGTTTCTATTTCTAAAAAATGAAAATTGCATTGGTAAAAAAAAAAAAAAATTAAATGTAATCGACCATGTTTTTCAGAACTAGTTCATATTCTCTGGCTAAGTGTTATCACATCAATGATGTGTTATGCTTGTTTAGTATGGTATATTATGTATGTATATTATAGTAAAAAGTCAATGTCAATGGGATCAATGAAGCAAATATCATTCTCTTAATAGGATCAGTGCAAGAAAAAGGTTGGGAATCCATGGTTTATATATTAGCCAAGAGGAGGCAAAAGATCCTTAATACCTGCTTATGTTGTAATTTTTTCATTTATGGCGACCACAATTGTTAAAGTGGACGTACTTCACTTCGTAGCAATTAGTACTATAAGATTTGATTTACGCTTTCACCTTGATTCAGCAGTCACCTGAATTAACAACCAATTTCTGCTGGGACCATTGATGACCACTTAAGTTAGGTATCACTGTTTTGAGAAACATTATGTTATTTCTTAATCACTTGAAGGTTTGTTTCAAATACATTTTTCACTAAACTTGTAGTGTCTAGATGGATAAAGCCTCAAAATGTGTGAAACTTAAAAAATATATTCCTAAAAATGCTTTTCAGCAGAAGTTCTCCAGCCTTATGTAAAGATGTTATTTTACCGATATTTGAGACAAGATGGACAGTATTAATTTGTGTATATTGTTAGCATTTCTGATATGTGTGGTTACAACATGCAGTGTGTTTGTTGCACGTGCTCTAAGCATGAAGTGCTGTGTTGCTGGGAGGCTACATTTGAATGGGTGTCTTTTCTGGTAAAGTTATTGAGAAAGATCTATCTCTTAAAGATATTATCAAATATTTAAAATAGCTGTTGCATTAAAATGGGATGAACTTATTGTCTGATATATAGCAGAATGAATATGCATTGTTATGTTTATGTGTTGCTTTTTGTGTGATTGTTTTTTGTAATTTTTCATAGATACATGTATAATTTATAGATTTAACAATGATAATTTTTCATTTTTATAATTGTCGCAGTACTTTCGAATTTATATCGTGGATCTTTCTCACGCAGATAAAACAACGAATTGGTGCATGTGGTATGATAACCTTCTAGCTAGAAGGAAAGTGCAAGGGTTGATTTGTATTGTTATGCAGTGTGAGGTCAGTTACATTGTGTAAAATATTTAATATTCAAATGTAAAATTCTTATCATTTATCATATCTTCAAGAAAATGAAAAATTGCCTCCAATTGTAATGCTTCGTTGAAATGTGCATGAAGAAAATGCCACCAAATATCTAGAGTTAGTCTTTTGGCAATAATTTATGTACTTTGCTTTAGCATTCTTCACTTCGGCTCTTTTTGGGAAAAAAAAACAACAAACACTTTATTCGGGTATTCTAGCAAATAATGTTTTGTTCATTTTGTTTTATTGGTTAGTAGAAAAATATCTATGAGCTCAAGAAAAAAGAATATTTTCCTTATTACATGCTTAAGAGCAAGTTTTGGGATAATTCTTAAAATTGAATTCAGGTGTTCTTATTCTTGTTCATTATCCTTAGGTGTTATTACTTCAAGTAGTTTCTTTACACTTGTGTCAATAATGTAATAACAATTATAATGGTAATCATAGCAGATTCCTTACGCAGCCTATCAGTCAAAAAGATCGTAAAAGAACATAAGGTAGCATTACAGAAATATTTTTTCTTTTCATTATTGCTTCAATGATTTTATAAGAAAATATGAGATCAAGTTTATTGTTATTTCACAATGTTGGTTTTGGGTAATGTAATGTCCAAGAAAGAGTATAAGTATTTTTCATTCTTTATTTATTTATTTTCTGTTAACATCAGCTTGCTTATTGTGGTCTATTCTGCAAATTCTGTTTGAATTTCTTCAGGTAACACATTCTTTAAAGTTGTGAAAAACTAACCCATTTTAATATTAATGTTTGTAGTACATTAAGATGAATTTGAGCTATATTATTCACCATGAATGTGAGATATCATTTGATCTGTCTTGTAGGTGCAGCCGTAGTGCTTGACATGCAACTTGGATTTTACTCAATTCCAATATCTATCTTTGTTTCTTAAGCTTTGTCAACTCTCTTAGTGATGAGTTTGCATTTCTTATTCTTCTCTGCAAAATGCTAGTTAGAATTTGTGCAGCACACCATAAATGCCATAATACCTTTGCCATCCCAGATTTTTTTTTCTTTGCAATAATTTGAGGCAATCATAGGCTCTTATTTACTTAAACATTTCAAAATAGAAACTTTTCACTAAGAATGTGTGCAGAAAGTTAATGTGTTATTCTCCAAGATCAATTTTAACAGGTGTGTACATTCATATGAAATTCTCTTGGCTGTCATCCTGATTGTGCCACATTTCTGTAGAGTAGTTTGAATTCTTTCCGTTGGCAACTGAAAGGCAGTCATTAGCAGCTTACATTGCATAAGCACAATGAAGAGAGTGAATAAACTCGAAGGAATGTTTTTTTTGTTTTTTTCTTTCAAAAATATTTGAGAAATTGCAGCTCGTTTTTCTTGTTCCTATAATTTTTTTCTAAGAGCAGTATTTGAAGACAGTGCTGTCTTTCGTGAATTTATTCTCTCTTTTTCAATGCAGAAACTGTCTTGCTTCAAAAACAGCTGTCTTGAAGTCTGGATATTGTCAATTAATATTGGAAGTTACAAATTTATTAAGAGATTAGTTTAAAGTTTCCACAGTCTTCTTGTACCTATCTTGCTTTACACAATTTTCTGGTGTTCAAATTTAAGAGTTTGAGGAAGATTTTACAAACACTTTTTGCCTGAATAGTTTATCTAAGTTAGAAAAAAAATGAGAATTATTTGTCTGAATTGAATTTGTGTCACACTTCATAAGTTCTGATTGTCTTGTTTCTGTTATTATTTTGAATAAAAACTAATTGGAACATAGATTGAAATTTTTTCTTGCAAATAGGGAATGCTTTGTGAATTGGGAAGGGAATTTGTGTATCAATCTTGTTTGGAAATCATGCAACTTGTTTTCATGTTTATTTTTGGATGCTCAACTTCATGTTTGCTTCTTAGTCTGAAAGTTGAACAGTTTTTTCTTGAGATATTTGTCTACTTTCTTTCTTCCATATGCGAGTTTGGTATGACTAAATATATTGATTTTCATGAGTAAAATCATCTTGGGGTCCTAAGCAGTGAGTGTTTCATATAAAGTTCTCGTTGAGTCTGGTTGGTTGTGATGTCACCCTATTCTATTTAGTGTACTTGGTGAAATCCTTAAACAATGTGCATCATTCATGAGTTTTTCACTTCTTAAGACTTCATGTTAGAAATGTGTTGCTGAATGTGATTAAAAGTTTCTTCCGTGTAGAAGACAAGAATATAGCATGATATATTTCGGTCCTGCATAATTCTTAGACTTCAGAAATTCTGTATAATCTCTATTTATTTATTTGACAACATGCTGTTGGACTGCATTGTTTTCTACTGAAAACAGCTGTACTACCATTTCTTATGATTGTCCTCTCCAACCATTTCTTAAAACATGTGGTATAAACGAGACATCATTTTTATATCACACTGAATATAATTGAGACAATTTCAGCTTTTAAGTATGTGTTGATGTTTAATTTTCATCATGTTTAAAGTCAATGAATTCTCCCCTAGTGAGTGTGATAGCATAATCAAATAATTGAATTTAAATAACTTTAATTAGATCATGTAAATTTCACTCTTGAATTCATTCTCTGTGTGCACACATCTTATCTCTGTATGTGATGTATTATGAAGTGGTGCATTAATTGTTAAGACTTGAAGTCCAGAAATGAAACTAGAAGTTCAGTGTTTCATCAATATTTCTTTCTGATCTCTCAACACTGGGTGTATTGAATATAAAAAATTGTAATGTTACTGTACCAGTGATATATATCATAATTTTCAACTCTCTAACAATTATATGTATTTGTGATTTGAAGTCATCAATTTTAAAGTAGAAAGCATTAGAGGCATTTTTAGAACAGATTTAAGCATCAATTACTTAAATTATTGTTTTATATATAATGTTCAGCACTGAAGAATTCTCATAAAATTTGTGCAATAAAAATT